GTAGGCAGCTGGGAGTGGTGGCACAGACCCAGCACACTGGGAAGTTGAGGCATGAGGATCACAAATGTGAAGCCAGCCTGAGCAATTTAGCAATTTAACAAGAACCTAAAAAGTAAAAAGAACATGGGGAAAAAATTAAATTAAAAGTTCTAGGGATATAGCTCAGTAGGAAGGCCCTGTGTTCAAACTCAGTGCCAATTATGATAATAATAATGATAATAATAATGCCAGGAATATAGCTCAGCAGCATGGCCAGACTGGACTGCATAATGAAAGCCTGTCTCAAACAACAACAAGCATTGGCCAGCTAGCTCAGCCTGCTTAGGTAGGCGCACACTGAGATGACAAGGGAGACTGGGCGTGGTGGCAGATGCCTGTAATCCCAGCGCTTGAGAGGATGAAAACAGGAGGATCACTACGAGTCCGAACTGTGTAGTGAGACCCTGTAGACCCTCTACTAAATAACATTAAAAAAAGACAAATAGGTTTTTGGTTGTGAGGTATGGGGTTTTTTTTTTTTTTTTTTTTTTTAATTTTAGGGAAGGGTCTACAGCAGGCGCTTTAGTCCACTGACCTATCTGTTTTTTTTTTTTTTTTGAACAGGGCCTTACTAAATTCATAATCTGCCCAGGCTGGCAGAGAGATCTACAGCTCTCCTGCTTTGGCCTCTCAGAATGCTAGCACCATCATACCCAATTCCAAAGGTTTTATTTTTGTTTATTTGGGAGATTTGTTTGTTTATTTGTTTATTGAGACAGAGTTTTTCTATGTAATTCAAGTTGGCTTTGAATTCACTGTAGTCCAGTCTGGCCTGGAACTTGTAATCCTCCTGCTTCAGCCTCCCAAGCGCTGGAATTACAGGTGCATGTCGCCACACCTTGTTCCCCAGCCCTTTTTCATTTGAGACAGAGTCTTACTAAATTGTTAAATTGCCAGAGTAGACAATTTAAAACATCTGACCCTTCTGCCTCAGCTGCCCAGAGGGCTGAGATTACAGGCAGAGTACTATGACCAACTAGAAATATTTTGTTTTTAACACTTTTATTGCAGCAAAACATATGTAATATAACATTTATGATTTTATTTT